GTACTAAAATAAATAACAGCACTTGCCCATTGGGAAACTATACTTGCCCACCAAGAATGACTGGAGAATGGGCAAGTATTTCCCACGGTTCTCTATGGGCAAGTATTCCCTATGGTTCCCCATGGGCAAGTAATCCCCATAGTCCCTATGGGCAAGCAGTCCCCATGATTCCCTATGGGCAAGTATTTCCCACGGTTCCCTATGGGCAAAAATTCCCTATGGTTCCCTACGGGCAAGTATTTCCCATGATTCTCTATGGGCAAGTATACCCATGGTTGCCTATGGGCAAGTATTCCCCTGGTTCCTTACGGGCAAGAATTTCCCATGATTCTCTATGGGCAAGTATTCCCCATGGTTCCCTATGGGCAAGTATTCCCCTTGGTTGCCTATGAGTAAGTAATCCCCATGGTTGCCTATGGGCAAGGATTCCCCATGATTATATATACACAGACATACCCATACATACATACATACACATAAATATGGATCCATAAGAAGACTTCCATTATATGTCAAAGCATGATTTTCCAGAGGTTCAGATGTTCTTGCTGTGGGCTCTATGGCATTGTTTGTGTCCCAGCATATACAGTGAACTTATACTAAGTATAAGGACATGGAGAGTGTTGAAGGAGATTAGAAACCCATTTCTCTACAACTCCCTCCTTATTTGGAAGCAATGGTTTCACTTACTAGCTCCAGAACCTTCCCCTATTTGTCCATTCCTATTGCACCCCCGTTGTTTTTATGAAGTGGATACATTAACTTAATTCAAATGTTGGAAGTAGTGTGGCCTGTACAGAATTATGGATTTATCCTAACAATAGCAACAACCCTAACTACTTCCTAAATATTCTACTACCGGTACATCTGGTTTCATAAAACCCTCCCTGCTTCCTTTCCTTCCTTCCTCCCTCTTTCCTTCCTTTCCTCCTCCCTGTTTCTTTTCCTTCCTTCTTAGTAGTATAAAACCCCCACATGTTGTCCTTCCCTTCTTGCATCCTTTCCTCCCTCCCTGCTTCCTTTCATTTCCTTCCTGCCTCCTTTCCTCCCTCCCTGCTTCCTTTCCT